ACACTACAGCGCCCTCTATGAGCAGTGCTTGCCATGATTACTGAATCCGAACGTGCTATCCGGAATCCTAACGATCAAGCAGCGAGCAGAGCGCAGCGACAACGGCAACATCTATACCTTCGAGTCGTTCAGCGTGTTGATGAGTTCCACGTCGTCGAGAATGTTTCCCTTGGAGTTGAAGAGGAGATGCAGAATCTTATCCTCGATTCCCTTCAGCTGATTCTTATCCTCGTTGATTCTCACGATCAGTTCGTTTCTCTGCTCCTCCAGATCCGGTCTCTCCAGCCTCACGACATCACTGTGCACGACGACAAGCGCAGGTCAGCATATTATGTATTTATATTATATTATATTAGAAATATATATATGTTATATTATAGTGAGTATATATATATTATATTATATTAGGTATATATATAGTGTTATATTATATTAAGTATATATATGGTATTATATTAGGTGTATATATGGTATTATATTAGGTGTATATATGGTATTATATTAGGTGTATATATGGTATTATATTAGGTGTATATATGGTATTATATTAAGTATATATATGGTATTATATTAGGTGTATATATGGTATTATATTAGGTGTATATATGGTATTATATTAGGTATTTATACTATTAATTATTTATTATACATTTTACATGATGGCACGAACAAATATGGGCTAGTTTACATCGAGATGCAATGTAATGTAAGAATCAAGGATCACGATTAGTCACTGTTTGTATTAGATTGCATCTAAATAATATCAGTTAGATATAAGTTATGGTTTTAGATGTTGGTATTAAAATAGCGAGCTCCGAGTTGATTGTTATTCGTAATGCTTTTGTAAGCATTGATATTGAGAGAGTAGATAAGACCTCACCTGAGGAGCTGATCTTCTAGCCCAGACACGGTGACGGTGAAGTTGATGATGGTGACTTTGATGCAGACCTCTGGCATGTAGTGCGGCGGGATGTCATCATGCTTTACTGCTTTCTGTCGTACTTCATTGATATGTTATGTTTTTAATTTTGCTATCTAACGGTTGTGCGTGCAGATTATGATAAGAATTTTCCGCTTCTACATGACGACAAGCTGTCAAC